TTTTTTTTTTTTTTTTTTTCTTTTTTTTTTTTTTTTTTTTTTTTTTAATTTTCCTCCTTTTTACTCCAAAATCTGAGCTTGTGCTGCTCCTCGAGCAGAGTTTTCTTGCCGGCCGAGAGAGACTGTGTCCCCTTGTCCTGTGATCGGTCGATTCCTTCTCTGCCTGCCTGTAGCTGTCGCTTGTTACTTTTCCTTTCTCCTCCTTTTTTTTTTTTCCATTTTTTGAGTAGCTTGGTCACAGTTGTGGGTTCGGGAGGGGCGGGAGGGTGGAGGGAGGGAGGGGGAATACATGATTTTGGGGGGGTTGGAATTGCATCCCCGGGGCCTCACCTGTCCTCTCTTAACTGTCTGTACCTGTAATAAAGTTGCCACGGTGAGAACCTGCTCTGGTAGATCTGTGCCGAAGCGGGGGGCCAGCCCCGGGGGGGTCCCCTTCTTATTGACCCCTCTGCCACCCAGATTGGGGTGTGTGTCCCCCCCTCCCTCCTTAAATTGCAGGGAGGGAGAAGCTTTGAGCCACCTTGGAGGTGTGGCAGCTCTGCTGGGGTTGGGTTTGGGGGGCTCAGAGATGCCCTTGCAATGTCTGTGTGTCCCCTGCCTTGCCCCCCACCCTCCCCCTGCCTGAGGGGTCCCTGCTGGGGGTTCACCCCCCACTCCCATTGCACTCTCCCATCCCTGCTGCCTCATTCCTGCCCCTCGGGGTCCCCCTTCCCCTGAGTTCCCCCCCCTGCCCCCAAAAGCTTGGAGCAGAGCCAGCCATGCTCAGCCTGGACCCTCCCTCCCTCCCCACCAGCCCTCTGGGAGCCCCTCAGGTGCCATTTGGGGGGGGGCAGCGCCCTGCACCCCCCTCATCCCCTCCCTTTCCTCGCTGCTTGTGCATAAACCACCTCCCTCTGCACCCCAAAACCCCCTCCCCTCCCTCCTGGGGGGGTTCCCTCTCCAGGTGCTCCCCACAGGGCTGCCTTCCTCCCTACCCACCTCCTCCTCCTCGGGGGTCCCCTCTGATGCCTTTCCCTTGTTGGGGGTCCCCTCTGATGCCCTTTCCTCATTGCAAGGATCCCCTTTGGTGCCCTTTCCTTGTTGAGAGGGCCCCCCTGCCCTTTCCTCACTGGGGAGTCCCTCTGATGCCCTGCCCTCGTTGGGGGCCCCTCTGAAGCCCTTTCCTTGTTGCAGGGGGTCCCCTAATCCCTTTCCTCATTGGGGCAGGTCCCTCTGACACCCTTTCCTTGTCAGGGGGGGCCCCTCTGACGCCCCTTCCACATTGGGGGGGGAAGTCCCTGAGATGCCCTTTCCTTGTTGCAGAGATCCCCTTTGCCCTTTTCTCACTGGGGGGGGGGTCCCTCTGACACCCTTCCCTCATTGCAGGGGTCCCTCTGATGCCCCTTCTTCACTGAGGGGGGCCCTTCCTCATTTGAGACTCCCTCCGATGCCCTTTTCTCATTGCAGGGGTCCCTCTAAAGCCTTTTTCTCCTCGGTTGGGGGGGCCCTTCTGACCCCCTTTCTTCCTTTGGGGGGGTCCCTCTGACGCCCTTTTCTCGTTGCAGGCTCTCCTCGGAGACCGGGGGCATGGGCAGCAGTTAGGGGGGCCCCGGACCCCCCCTCAGCCTCGCCATCCATCTGCGGCCCCTTTAGCACCGACCCAGGTTTTAACTAGTTTGTACATTTTCGGTTCCTCCAGCCTCGCGCCACTCACCAGGTTCAGTTTGTTTCGTTTTTGTTCTGGTTTTTTTTTTTTTTTCGGGTTTTTTTGAATTAAAAGATAAAGGCATTTTAATTCCTTTCGTTCAGCTCTCTTAAAGAAAACTGCTGAACCCCAAATCTTAGTTTTATAAAGCTTCTCTCTCCTCTCCCCTCCCTTTCCCCGCACCTCCCTCCCTTTCTCCCCCCCCACCCCTCCTTTTTTCGGCTCATGAAGTTTCTGTTTTTGTCATAAAATGTTAAGAGTGGAAATAAAAAAAAAGGCAAAAAAAACCCAAACCCACAAAAAGAAAAAAAACACACAAAAAAAAAAAACATTTCAGTTTAGTTCTGTAACGTCAGGAAATTTTTCAAAAAAAAACTGAATAAAAAGATGGACTGGAGCTTTTCCTTGTGAATAGAACCTGCAGGATATTTTGGTTAATGGATCTGCCTGTCTCCGTCTTTATTTGAACCCCCTTGGCTCTTCCCAGTGCTCCCAGTATAGCTCCCTTTGGGTTCCCTCAGGAGAGGGATAAACCAGCCTGGCTGGGATTTGGGATCCTTCCAGAGTGTGGGGTAAACCAGCCCAGTGCTCCCAGTATGGCCCAGCTCAGGGATCCCTCTGCAGTGGGATAAACTGGCCCACTGCTCTCACTTATGGCCCAGTTGGGTTTTGGGGTCTCACTGGACTGACATAAACAGGTCCTGGGGCGGGAACTTTGATCCTATGGATGCATTTTGGGGGTGTCTCTCCTCTCCCAGTTCCCTGCAAACCGGTCTTTAAAGGAAACTGGTGTCCCAGTTGGTTCTGTTCACTCTTTCCTTTCCCCCCTTCTTCCTCCCAAAATCCCATGGGTGACAATCCCCCCCCCTTCCCCGAGTGTCTGCCACTGCCCAGTGTTCCCAGTGTCACCAGTAAAGAAAGGCTGGGACTCTCTGGGGGGCTCAGCCCCTTATATCCTGTGCCCCCTCCCCTGAATTAGGGGGACCCCTCTCCACCTCTGCAGGGTTGTTAGAGTAGGACCTTCATAAACAAATGAGGGAGACAAAACCCCCTCTCCCCCTGTTCTTTGCCCCAGTACCCCCCCCAAACCACCCTGCAGTGCCCCCTCAAAGCCCCCTGCCCCCCCCCCCCCAAAAAAACCCCCTTGCAGTGCCCCCCACCCCGAGCCAGCAGCAGCAGTAGAGATCGATAGATATTTATATAAATATTTGGGGCTGTACAAGTGAGGGGGTGCAGGGGGTGGGGGTGTGAGGGGGGGGACACAGGTCACAGGCCCGGGGGGGCTGTGGGCCGGGGGGGCCCCTCGCCGCTGCCTGAGTGGTCGAGCTCCGCACTGTCACAGTCCGAGTCCTCGGAGACCTTGGGGGGGAGGACACAAACAGAGGGGTTAAACATCCCCCTTCCCTGCTACCCCTGTCCGGGGGGACCCTGGAGACCCCCTTCCCCTGGGGGGAACTCGATGGAACCCCCCACCCCAGCATCCCCAACCCAGGGG